AGTACACAGCACAGTATACAGCAACAGACCCCAAAATATAGAGAGCCCTCTGCCACATTGTTCCTACACGAGAAAAAAAAAAAAAGAAAAGGCACTTTAAAAAATAGGTGATCCTCAAAGCAGATAATTCAGTGATGCTGCCAGCTTTGCTGGAGCAGTGAATCGATCCATATGAAACATTGCCCTAATACAAAGGACTGCCAGCATCCCCTTGCCAATATCCAAAGTGCCCCTGCATCCTCCTGTTCTGAAGGGCTCTGCCCAAGTTGAATTCAAGGTCATGGAGTTTATCTTCAAGGCACTTATCTCAGTTGTCACACCAAAGTTCAGGGCTCTCTTTGGCAACTCTTGAGAGCCAAATGACAGTTTTTCTATAAGGCTGAAATTTGCAGAACAGAGAGTAGGACAAGTCTTTCTCAGCCTCAGGTATAAAACCATGTAAGGACCTCCTAAGGACCAACACCAAATGTTGAACTGAGTTGGTGAGTGAGGTTTAAAAAGAACAAGTAAAGGCATATAACAGTCATTTGTGACACTGTGTTTTCAAACTTCATAGAAATGTCCTTGAGTAAGGTGTTAACGGATCTTTGTAAGAACCTGCAAAGCACAGATTGGGCCCTTGCATGGGCTGAAGCATCATGAAATTCACTCAGGTAACTCATGCTTAAAGAAATGGATTATATTTTCTGGGACATTTGTGGACTTGCAGAAACTTCAGATGAGAATTCAGGCCTGGTAAAATAAGGTACAGTATGGTACAATCTGCTCTGTATCATCAGTCATGAAAAATAATGTAAGTTAAATCCAGACAACTGCACTGTGAGAGCATCCAAAGAAAATATTTTGGTCTTACTCTCTGAGCTAGAAGGATATCAAACCACCTTCAGCTAAAGCAGCAGCTTTGGTTATAGAAAGGGACACAAAACTGTCTTAAGCTAAAAGAAAATCTGTGGTAATGTGATGTGATTTGAGGAGTCTATGTCTGAGGAGTTATGCAATTTGTGGTAACATGATGTGATTTGGGGAGAATAGACCATACGTATAAACTATGCAAGCTTTTGCCAGAAAGATCCTGCCTTGGTAAAAATCAAAAATTCATTTCTAAGGCAAGAACACTGATGTATGCACATAACTATAGCTGGTGAGGTGAGGTAACTGTGAATGCCCACAGCTTTTCTGGTGCAAGGAGAGACGTTTCACATGCCAGAATTCCCATCCAAGCAGTTTTGGTAATACATGAGTATGTGCAAGCCAGTCCTGAACTAACTGAACTAATGATTTTGCTGGACAAAACAAAACCCCAAACCTTCAGCTGGCCTTTTGCCTCTGGCTCTCTACACTACTGTTTTCTCCCTGCCATTACCCTGAGCTGCCTTTTGCTTGTACCACAACACTGCTATGCATCAAAAAGATGAGCTGATCACCCTTCACTGAGTTTTTGTAGCTCCAGGTGTCTGTCACACAAGCTCTGGCTGCAGCTGAGCAGGGTAAAGAGGCATGAACTTAAGAAAAAAAGCCCCAGGATTTCTTTGAAGCCCTCTGCTCTTAGAAGCAGTTCAACTGAAACAGGATGTCTGGTCTCAGAGCATGCCAGCAGTACTGATTGCTGTCTGGTTTCCAAAGCTTACTCTAAAATTGTGCTGAGATGCTGAGCCAAAGGCATGAGAAGATTCTGTCCCCAGTAATGAAGAGCTAAATGGCAGAAAAGTGAGAGATATGCTTTTCATGGTGAGGAGAGAAGGATGAAAGAAAAGTTCTACCCTGATTTTAAAAGCCCTTCTGACTCCGAATGATTTTTATTCATGCTAACTAGAGCATGCCTGACCTACACTTCTTATTCCTTTTAGCTGACAACAGCTTACTCATGGGTGCAGAAATGTTTATGATAACTTTAGGGAAATCCAGCCTAGGTCCAACCAGACCCATCAGCTTATGTCTGAAACTGCTGTGCAAATGCCATGGTGCTACTGCTGATGCCAGTAGTCACCTGCAGCTGCGTGGCATCAAGCCCAAGGTAAGAAGCTCTGGCAGTGCCTGAGCCTGGCAGGACAGCTCAATGCAGCCTCAGCACCAGCTGGGCTGAAGCCACATGGCTGTCACCAATCTGTCACCACTCTTCAGTTCTGCTTCTGAGGATGGCCTTTAGCCTGGGGTCAGTGCAGAGGGTATGCACCTCAGCAGGTCCTGGACTGGTGCTCACGCTGTGCCTCTATCTGACCCAAAAAGCATGAGCTGTACAGGACAGGATGAGAGCACCACCCAAGCTGCCACACTTTCCCAGAGAGGTAGCAGTATCTATACCCAGGCAAGCTGACATGCTGCTCTCTGGGATGCTTAGACTGATTCCTGATCAGCCCCAGTCCTCCTACCATTCTTTTTCCTCCTCCTGCTTATTGGTTGCTCAAATAACTGAGTCTTTGCTTGAAGCCAGGTTGAAAAGTTAGTGCCAACCTGGTTTGGTTTGAGCATCAATGAACAAATATATAATGTAATTACTTAAGACTGGCTGGGTGCCATCAGTCACACACAGCAGCATGATTCTCTGGCACCTTGCAGAACTAGCAATGGTGACTGAAAAAATAATAAAGACATTTATATTTTTATTAAGGAAAGATCAGCTGCATAACATCCTGGCGATATAACACAATGCCTTGACTGTCAGAGAAACTCAGAAAGGTCTAGACTCTAATGAAAAAGAGTTAAAGCACATTTGCATTCAGCAACTGCAATGATTCTGAAGCAAGGAAACAGAAGCTGTCTAGACTTTTATGATATGGCTCTTTCTCTCCCTCTCCTTTTTCAATATTTCTTCCTTGCTTGTCTCAGATGCTACCTGCAGCAATAGTGTAGTATTCCTGGTTTTCCTTTGGTCACTTACAGTGTTAAATTATTAATCACATTCCAATATCTAATGCAGTATATGACACACAAAGCACAAAGCCAAGGACTGTTCTGAGCCATGGTAACTGGAGATATTCAGAGCATTCTGGATCAGTTTTTTTTTTTTTAAATTCTCATTTGAGGTAAAATGAATTCAAAAAGCCACTCCAAGGCTTGTTGGAGTGGAATGATATGTAGTCTCAGAGGAGCTGCAACTACCCTCAGCAGAGTCAAGAGTCAGATTAATGAATCCCTCATCAGAAAGAGTCCCCTGGGTTTTCCATGCTGAAGGGTTGGGACTTCAGCTACTGCTTTCCCCAAACAGGGCATTGCTTGCATCTGGACCTGTGTTAGCTGTTGGTTACCTCACCTCACCCTTCCCAGGGAAGAGAGGGATGGTGACACTGGTGGGTTCCACTTTATGCCACTGAAATGTCATCTTTTTCCCAAAGTGTGTGTGTGGGTTTATGTGCGAGAGCTTCTCTGGCACCTCTGCCAAGCAGATGCATCCTGCATTGCACTTTCTTCCTAAAGGCCCCAGTCTTGGTATTAGATTCACCTTAGATTCAGAGATCCTATGGTTTTGGCAGTGTATGGGCATCACCTCCCTGAATCCATTATTCCTCTTGATAAGGTGGCTGTAAGGCATGTAGTGAGATAAAAGGTCAGGCTGAGGGAATGAAATGAAATTAAATGAAGGGAAAGCAGGGAATGGTAACCAACCAGCTTTGTATTTTTGTTATGTTGCACAGCTGTTCTCTTTGTCTTCTTAATGCTGTTGATCATCTTAAACTGTAAATTCTTTAATAAGCAGGACTTATTTTCATTCTATGTATGTAAAAGGGATACATATAATATCTAAATAGTGGTAGAGGAATATGAAGAGTCTTTAAGAGTGTACAGTCTTCCCTGCCTTGACATTATCCACATTTATGTAAACCAGGATGATCTCCATTCCTTGTCTTAAACTGTAGATTTTCCTACACATATTGTTCCAGCATTCACCTTAGACATCCCTGCATTTGCATGTACAAACATTTTGCAGATTACAAAATGACAACTTCTGGCTTTTAAAAATCTCTCATGGGAAATAAAAGTTCCTGATGCTACCTATCAGTAAACAAAATCCTATGCCTTGCACCTCAAAAAATAAAATCCATCTTGATATTTAAAATCTGAAAAGTGCATGAGGAAAATCTAAATCAGAACAGAGAGGAAGAAAGGGTTAATTGACACGAAGACCAGCACAATCCTGACCATATTGATTGTAGTAAGGTTTTCATTAGCAAACAATTAGCAACACCCACACCAAATAAAAGGAATTTCTAAACAACAGGTAGTAATAACAAAATACATTCCTTAGCTGAGAGTCATTAGAAGGTAGAGAAAGATTATCCATAAAGAGAGGATTAGTAAAACGAGAAACCCCTGATGTAGCAAAGGGAGCCTCAGCAGGCCAGCTGCCTAGATTGAGGTAATAATCCCACCTTTTCTTCAAAGAAATAATAGAAGTAAAAAGAAAGATCAGAGCCAATAAAAGAACCCCTTTGCATGATACAGTGTGCATGGATAAATGCATGTGCCTTTTAAACAATCATTTCTAACAGGGAAACAAAGAAGAATCAGCAGTAGGGTTCAGTAATATTTAAAGAGACCCAGGAAACTGATAATGCCACTTTTATACCTGTGCAACTCCACTGGCTTCTTGTTTTGTATCAGCCTAAGTAGGAGGAGAATCTGGATGCACACAGTACAGTACAGTGTGCTACAGGACAAATTGTTGTTCTCTGCTGTTTTTCTGACTGCTGGGGGGCAAACAGAATGAACTAATTGGTCTCTTTAGGGTTTATTTATTTATTTATTTATTTTCCTTAGAAATGTTTTAGGTTATTTTCTTGCCTTCGTATTAATCATTGTTCCATCGGGTTATTGCAGGAAGAGCAGAGTGAAAGTTTGCCAGTCCGAGCACCCCCGGGAGGTTTCCATCCCTTCTACAAGGGCAGCATGGCTACGGCACCAGGTAACTCGGAGAGGGGGGAGAAGCAGTTCAGGGGCCAGAGCCCAGGTACTCGGGACTCTTCTGTCGGTCCCATGGGCTGGTTCAGCCAGGTTTCCACCTGATGAATGAGGCTCCAGCGGTTCGCTCTCCTCTCGGCTCCACAGGACCCGCTCTGGCAAAGCGCACTGAGCTGCACCAGAGGCGTCCACATCCGCGTGCCTTCACCTGGGCACCTCGGATCCCAGGCTTCCCTATGGAAATTCCAGCTAAGGTTCAGGCTGGGTTCTCGCCCCTAGGATCTGCCCCGACTGACATCTGCCCTGTGCCCTGTGCCCCTCGCAGGCCGGTCCCGCAGGCCGGGCGTGTGGCGGCGGCGCCATGGCGGCGCCCGCGGCCCAGGGCGGGCCCTGCGGCGCGCGCCGCCTCCGTCAGGTGGCGCCATTGCCGCGGGCCCGGCCCGGCCCGGGCGGCCCCGGCTGAGGGCGGGGGGCCGCCGTCAGTCCGCCTTGTCCTGTTGTGGCCCGGTGAGTCTGAGGACGTGAGCGGTGAAGCAGGAGCCAAGAAATGGGTGAGGACACCTTTATTTGGGTGTACCGGAGAGGGAGGGTTTGTAGGGCAAACTAGTTGAGATTTGTGCCGCGTGGCCTTGACCTGGAAGAGCAGGTTTGCATCTGACATAGGTCACTGGAAAAGGTGTGAGGAGGGTTATCTGCAGCTCTGTGATATCTTTGATATCTTCTAGATAACCCCCCTATCTGCTGCTGCTGTCAGCTTTCCATAGCACCCTCAATGCCGTGGTGGGGCCGAGGCAGCAGCAGCTCTGAGCTGTCCGTGCCTGGCTGCCGGAGGCTGCCATCCCCCGGCCCCTGCCTCAGAGCCGGTGGGTGACTCTGCCAGGGCCCGGGCAGAGCCATCCCACCGGCCCTGGGGACTCACGGGAGCTGTAAGGAGCTGTAGCTGCTGCAGCGTCTCATCTGTGGAGAAACGACTTCAGAGGTGGGAAATAAAGAGCTACCAGCAAAGCCTCTCAAAGCGCTCACCTGCACAAAGTGCTGCACTGCACCCTGTGGCTTCTACTCATAACTCTGCACATGCATGTGGTCGGGTTTGGGAGAAATCCGCCAGATTCCTTCCGTTTCTACCGCACTGAAATTGCAGGACACTTTGAGTTTTAAATGCTCTCACAGCTAGTTTACAGCGAGGGACTAAATTAACAAAACAAAAGGTGCTAGTCAGGAAAAGTCACTTAGATGTACTTAGTCAATCTGTGGCATACAGAACAAACTATCCTCTAGGAATGCGCAGTTACTAACAATGAAGTCAAAACCAGTCCCTGTCCTACCACAGAGGTTTGGCTATGGCTCAAAAGAATGTACTGCACAGCCATCAACCTCCACAGCCCCCCTAAAGAGGAGCAGATATTGCTGTGGTAGTGATGCTGTGCTTCAGGACTGTCCTTTTTGCACACCCAGTGAACCACGAACTTGGCGTGCCAAAATGAGCCCAGGACCGGGCCAGCCAGAGATGCTCATCACCAAAATCTCCTCCAGGTGAAGTGTCTTTTTACACCCCCATTCAAATGCATGGGGGAGAGGGCATGAGCAACTCCACCCTCGACAAAAGCTTATGCACAAGGCAAAATCTCCTGGAGATTTCCTCCTACTCTGCTCCCTCCTATGGTTCCTCCTGGAGGAGGGGGCAACGAGGCCCATTATTTATTTAACACCAGATTGCTCAAAAAGAGGTTTGAGCTGACTGTATGAAGAAAAATAGGTTTCATTACCTATAGTGCTTCACATTTCAGAGAAGCTTGTATTGTTACACAGTTTGAATTGTTTGACAATATAATTATTATTATTAGTCCATAATGTACACTAACAGGTCTGGCGGTGAAAGGCTGTATATTAATGCACAGTAACTATGTTTCACTGGAGGGGGTTAAACAAAACTGTAACTAGGGTCAAAGCTATGCCTTTGCCTCCATCTGCTAGAAACCAGGCATAGTTGCTTAAATTTTAATTACAAATTAATAAAACAAAAATATGCTACATTTTGCCTTGGAGGGCTAAATGCTAATTTTGGAGCTAACCATGAAATATCTAATATTGGAAGGCTCTAATGTTAAAGGTTACTGTAGTTTGCCTTTGAAAATATACCTGATAAGAGCCTTGAATTGGAACTGAACTAATAATCAAAAAAGAATGGCATAGCCCAGTGAACTAATTTTTACACCTTCTCTCTTTCCGCAGGTTCAGATAATTTCCTGACAAGGCTGCTAAACCAATATTTTTTTCTTATTAAAGACTGACAAGTTTCTGGAGCTCCTCTATAGCCACACTAGTTTCTGGGAAGAAGAGATAAGCCCTTTCCTATTTGCCAAACAATGATGGCAAACAAAGCAGCATTCTACAGGAAGCAAAAGGCTTTTTAAAAAAATGTAGTTTGTTGGCTTGGCTGAAGGTTGCCTGCTAGACTGAACAAGCAAATACATTTTATTCATATTTCTCCATAAGGCCTGTTTCAGTACAAAGTACAGGCATTAAGGTGCAGGTACAGGATTGGTTTCAGGGTGACTGGTCTGTTTTATTCACAGTAAAACATTTGTGTGGTTAATAGTGCTGGAGATACAGCATGCTAATGAGCCCCCTGAAGGTGTTCTTCCTACCTAGCCTCCAGTCACGGAAGCAGTTTACAAAATGTTTAACTCTTGAGATGCAAAACAACTGGTGGCTGTGACTGCAATGGCACCATCCCTTCTTCTGGGTCTCAAAACCATATAAAACATCATGATTCCTGGAAATAAGCTGTACTCTTCAACAAACTAGTAAAACTCAGTGAGAAATGTGCAGGAGGAGGAAGATAGTGGCTAGAATATAGGAATTTGAGACAGTGAGTCAGATAGAGGATCTCTGTCAAAATACTTGTGAAACTTCACTTTTGGCAACACATATATGTTTAGGGCAATTCAGATCTTAGCTCCTCCTAGTCTGTTCAACATCCTGCTACAAATAATCTTTTGCTTCCCTTCATTTGTCAGGTGCACACACACAGCCCAGTTCCTCTGCCCTGGCAGAGCTGGAACCCATGCTACTTTGGACTGTGCCAAACACCTTGGGCAGCCTTGACATTCTTTGCCATTTGAGACCCCCTTGTGCCCTCACTGCTCAACAAATTTTGCTGTAAAAAAATTAGCAGGTTTAGTAGTAGTAGAACCATAGCTCTGCAAGGGCCAGAGAGAAAATGTATGCAGAGGGAAAATATACTGCTCAAGCACCTGAATTATCTTGAAGAAATCTTCCTTTCTGACAGGCTTTCCTGTGAGCACTGACAACCTCAAATCACAGTTTTGCTGATGTCAAGGCATGTTGAGGAGATACAGGACTTCTGCTATGGGATGTCTTTGCTGGGATGTGAGAACATTTCTCACAAAGTCCTATGTTCCCAGTCCAGCAGTTACATTTCAGATGATGGAAGGAGAATTGCTGCCAAGAACCCACGAGACAAGGGAAAGGGACGCTGGGCTGATGAGGTGATCAGTGAAGAGAGGAAGGTAAAAACAGCCAGCCACCACTTCCTTCACATTCTGCCAAGGGAGAGAGTTAGTGTCCTGCCAGCTGTGCAAAGAAAGCAAGCCAATCTGGAACCAGACCAAAACTGCATAAGGAAAGAGGGGTAAGGCAGAGAGCTAGTGCTCGTGCAAACCTGTCCCTATGCTTGCATTCTCTATGTGGCTACAGGGAAGTAGTCTTTCTTTGTGTTCCTGCCTGTTTCCAAGGGAGGTAGCATTTGAGAGTAAATATTTAATGGCAGCCAAGAGTTTGAGTTCCACAAAGGCAGTTAAGTGTTTATTCCTCAGCCTGGCTCCTTGCTTTCTTGGAGCAGAGTAGGTACAGAGCCTGTCCTGGAGGTGAGCCAAGCCAGGCATAACCACCCTTTTTGTGGCATGCTTCCCTATGGAAAAATGTCAGGCTCTCATTGCTGTTTGCTGTGGGCATGTGAATAAAGGGGCTCATCTGCTGTCCTGAGGGGTTCAGTGGATTTGGTGACTGATTTCCCACTTTGTAACAGGAGCTTCCAGAAAGAAATCCAAGCCCAGCGATCCATCTTTCCACATTCTGTCCTATAACCTGAATATATGGCTTTTAACAGTGTTGCCGGTTGCCCTGAGGTATTATTTTATGAAGCTCTGTTTAAACATGTAGGAGGTTTTGTCACCATCAGGCAAAGCTCTGTAAGAAACCTGAAATATGTAATGAACATACCATCCACCAAGGCTACCTAACTGTTCTCTTCAGGTTTTTGCTTGTGTTTTAACCTCTCTCAAGCTGTGTGTTTGAATTCCAGTCCATTCCTCTCTATACTAGATTCCACCAGTACCTGCTGCCTTATGAACTGATCAGAAGTACAAGGAGTTTAAAGTGTGTGCATGCAGGAGAGTGATTACTGGGGACAGCTGAGCATTATTAATGTTGCAAAAGGATAGGCAGGATCAAAAGGCTTCTCCTGTTCTGACCAATCAGCCTTTGTTCCTGGGGGGGGGGCAACTTCAGGAGCGTAACAGAGGTCATGACCTGTCATGAACCTGCAAATCTTGCAGATTGCAGCCCTTACTGCATCTTTTCTGGAGAAGTGGATGTGTTCTTTTTAAAAACTGGGTGACAGCTTCTGAGCAGGAGCCACAAGGAAGGAAGGAAGGAGGTGAGAAAATGCAAAGGGAGTCCTAGGAACGAGATTTTGTCCCTCAGGAGTATGCAGAAGCTTCTGTATGTTTGTGGGAAATATGGTCTTTCCCTTACCAATTCTTTTGAGCTCTGCTTTTGGTAAGGGCAGGCAGAGGTGTGTGCAGTTCACTTAATCACTACCCTGCCCTCCTTGGAAGCATCGAGCAAGCTTTATTTGTAATGAGTTCACTCCTGCAACAACAACAGCAACAGAAAAAAAGGAGATCTATCTTAACAAATGACAGAAAGACCTTAAATATAGAGTACTTTCCTAATTGTATGGTAGCATAAACCTAACTCTCTCTAATAGAAATGGCCCATAAGTCTTTGGAGTAATAGATTACTTTTATTAAAGGTAGGGTCTGATCTGGAGAGTCTTTGTACTGATACAATGGAGAGGATAGCTCTAGTTATCAATACCAAAAAATGAAAGGAAAGAAGAGGGGCTATTCTTACGCTATTTTTAGACAGACTCTGTTTTTACATTCTTGACTTTCTTGAGCCACAGTGCCACACAACTGACTAGGAGAATGTTTTTACAACAGAACTAATTACAGTGAGGTCAGTTTTGTGCTTTGTAAGACCAGGTGGAGAATTCTACCATGTTACCATTGTTTTGGTTAAAGAATGCATTGGACAAATTTTTCAATAAGATTCTGACAATAAAGTCAGCAGCAAGAACAGCAGCTGTGTCTCAGGTTAGGTACCTGGGGCTCAAGACTGAAAGAAAGTCAGATGCAGCATGATAGACTCGTCACATGATTCCCTTTGGGCCTCATATCCTCTCCCTGCCCCAAAAAGGAAATCATGGTGTTTTGGGAGCACAGATGCAATCAGGACATCTCTT